TCATTTGTTCGATTCTTGTTTAGATCATCTTATCAGGGTTTTGAGAAGATGAGAGGAGACCAACCTACTTTTAAATTGGAAAAAATATCAATTTATGGTTTCCGATGAGATTGTTTTGGGGCACAAGATTTCTGAGAGGGGTGTGGAGGTTGATTCAACAAATATAAAAGTCATTGAGAAACTCCCCTCACCCACATCTATGAGGAGAGTTAAGAACTTTTTTAGTCATTTTGGCTTTTAAAGGTGGTATATTAAGGATTTTTCTAAGATTATGAAAATGTCAGGATATATAAAAAAAATGAAAAATTAAAATGATCAAAAGATTCTTAGAAAAAATTTCGAGCCTGGACAAAAAATTTTGGTTATATAATTCTTGATTGAAACTATTTTCTAGAAAACTTGAACTAGGTGATCAGAATCATTTACCGTAGTAAATGTTCACCCTTTCAAAGTTGTTGATATTGTTGATCATAATAGTAGAAAGGAGTTCATGGTAAATGAACAAAAGTTAAAACTATATTTATGGGAAGATAAACTTGGTCTAACTAAATCTTTAACTTTGGGTCAACCCAAATAGAATATCTGGCATGGTCGAGCTAACGATGTTAAACCAACCACTTTCTTGGGAGGCAACCCAGAAGGTATCTTTTGCTTGAATTGGTTTCTTGTTTCATGTTGGTTTTGTTTGTTTTGCAATTTTTAATGTTGGTTGAATTTAAGAATTTGCATGTGCTTAGAATGTCTTGTTTACTTATTCGTGATCATTAGAAATTTTGCTTGGATTGAATAGAATTGAGGTTAATTCTGCTAGGTGATAATTATTGAACAGACTTGAATTCAAATTTGATTTGAATGTATATTTTTATCTTGATAATTGAATGTTTAGCCCTTGCCAGCCTTGAATTTATGCTCGGACACAAGCAAACAATGGGCTTGGCACTCAGCACCGGGCTAGGGATGCATATGTGCCCCTACATGTTTCTTCATCTAAGGTTGAGGCACAGTGAGCCTAGCGCTTGAGGCACATAAGTGCCCCTCTTCTTATTCCTCACATCCACGCATGCTTAAACCAAGCGCCTGGCGCATAATTTTTTGCAGAAATCTAGAGCGCTTGGAGCTTCTGTGCCAAGCAAGGGGCGCATGTGCGCCCCTTCTCATCCCTGTGCGAACTCCCTACCCACCTCACGTGATTGCTACCTACCACACATTTCAAACCTACCTCCACTTATGTTTACTACCTACCACCATCATTATCTCTACCTAACTCTCATTTCATATCTACCACACTTTCATTGCTATAAATTTGGTATTTAGGATGAATGTTAACCACAAAAAAAATATAGCAATATTACTTCTAAGAATCACAATTTTAAGTTTGGGGGAAAGTTCTTTTTCATTTAGCTTGCCTTAATTACCAACTAATTTTTTTGGTAAGCCATATTCCTACAAACCTTAACTTTGCCCTCGATCATTTTCAAATTTTTCCCTTCCGTGAATGGCTCCTAAAACAAAAGGAGACAAAATTCCCTCTACTTTTGATTCTAAGAAATTCATAAGTCTTGAAGCTGCCACTAGGTTTCAAGATCTTATAGTTTCAAAGAGTATGATTCAAGAAAGAGGTTTCATTAATCTAGGAGGGGACATTGATGCTCAAATAGGTATGAGATGTTGGGTAAATGTTTGTTGTCAGATAGGTAGTGAAGTTATTCCTATTGTGTGGGAGTTTTATGCAAATCTTAAAGAGCAAAAAGAGGGGAAAGTTTTTGTTAGAGTAAAATGGTTAGATTTTACTCCGGCCTCTATTAATTCCAAATTTAATCTACCTAATTTTGAAGACAGTTATATGTCTTTCTTATCCTCAATTACTAATGAAAATATATTGAAAATCATTGAACATTTTACTTCTATGAGGGGGGAGTGGAAGAGGAGGGAAGATAGGTTGGTGAATTTTTCTGCCAAGACCATTACTGCCACTTCTACAGTGTGTGGCATTTCTTTATTTGCGCCTGACTTTTGCCAACTACAAATCTTAGTGAGGTTACGAAAGAGAGAATTGTCATAAGTTATTATAACCAAAGATCCAAACCTATTAATGTAGGACAACTTATTTATTGTTCTACTTGTAGCGTTCTGAAAGAGGGGCCCACTAAGGGATTGGAACATCCTGCATTGATTTTCTCTTTATGTATGAAGGTCGGGGTTAGGTTTGAAAATTGGGAGCAGATTCTTCCCCATAAAGCTATTTCTAGAAAATCTATTTATGGGTACAACAAGACTGTGTTTGATAGATTTATCGATGTCGAAGAACCTAATCCATCTCAACCTAATACTTTGCATTCCTGACCTTCTGACCCTGGTACCTCACAATCTCGATCCAAGGGGTCTGCAAAATTCACTGAGATACACAAGCGGCTAGATACTATGGCACGTGATTCACATACCATGATGCTTCGGTAGCAGTGTATGGACAAATGTATTCAGCATTCTGATGTTCAACAACAAAGGTTGTATGAGCATATTGGACAGTTAAATGTTGCTCAAGCAGAGTGGTATTGTCACCATGATATTGGAGGTCAGGTCGAGCTAGTTAACTTTCATGTTACGCCTCCTTATGAGCCATTTTAGGTTGAAGAAGAATCTCCGGAGGATTAGATTTTGGTTTGTTTTGTCGTAGCTTGCAATAATTTTATTTTTGATTGTGCTTGTATGTTTAATTACTGTTGCACTTATTTGTATTTCTGTATTTGTTTCCGCGTGAATAAATTATTATCTTTTGCTCTAGTTAATTGTTCTTTTCTCATTTGTTTAATCTCTTGTTATGTTGTGATTTTCAATTATTGAACCAAATTAAAAAAATGGTTGTTGCATCTAATAAGTTTGGGGGGGATTTTAATTTGTAACAGTTCTTGCCCTTGTTTGAATTTTAAATCTTTAAAATGTTGATTCCTTTTATTTATATTGTGGTGAATTTGAGTTAAGATTTATATAAATCAAAATGATTAAATTACATAAACAAGTGACTTAAGTTCTATTTAGAGTTAACCAACTATGTTGTAACTTGAACTTTGCTTCTTAACAAAAGTTTATGTAATTTATATATTTTGTTGAATGTAGTCATTAAAGGTTTAGTCGCTATTAATAAAATTCTAAAATTATAGTCTATAAGTTCTAAATTTTGAAGAGAAAGGAAGGACACGATAAAATTTTATTTATAGATGTAGTGGGGAAATTCAAAATCATTATGAGTTGATCCAACTACAGTAATTCTCTATGATCTGTATTTATATATATATATATATATATAATTATATATCAAAATATAGGATTAAAAGAAGTAATTTTAAAAGAAAAAAAAGAAATGGAACAGAAAATGAATGAAAAATATAATTATAATATTGAAGAGAAGCTTGAGGCGACGCTCTATCAAAAATTGGTTATGTAGTCTACTTTATAAAAGTTAAAGTTTAATCATGAATATTCCTTCTAATTCAATGATTTTGCTTGTAGACTATTAATTGCCTTAATTTGTGTTAATAGCAGGTTACAACTTTTTCAAAGATGCTACTTGCAATTGAATTAGTTAAGCTGCAATAAAGGTATTTGAAATAAATATATAGATTGTATTAGCTTTCTAAGTATTCCTTTAGAATAAATACAAGCACAAGCAATGGGCGCATAAGAACCGAAGGTAGTTGGAGAGTTCAATTGGGGATGCAGAGCTTCAGTCATTGGATGGAAAAATAAGTGAACATCAAGATGGGAAGAGGTATAAAAAGCAAGATTAAGAAGATGCAAGGGTCGGTTCTTCATATCTTAGAACTTTTTAGAGGGAGGATTTTCTTCTTCAAAGGACTTCTTCTTTGGAGAATAATTGGAGAGAATTGAGAGGATCGGAAGGTGTATTCGTTGCTTGCTTGTTTTTCAATCCATCTTGCTTGTAAAAGAAGGAGAACTAAGTACACTTTGTTCTATATTTTTGTTGGATTTCAGTGAAGAACTCTGTGTATGATTTCTTTATCTAATTTAAAGTTTGATTGGATGGTTTTTATGATGAAAAGTGAGTAGACCTTTTAATTTCCCCCTTAAATTGTATGGTGGAAGAATAGAGTTGAATCACTTTATGTGATCTGATTTGTAATTGATTGTAATAGTGTTGAGTTAACTTTTACTTAACTCAATTCCTATTTGGTCCGTAGAAATGTTAAAATACATCGTGAACTATACGATCCGGAAGGATGAATAGAGGAACAAGAGTTTATGCTCACATTCAAGGAGATAATTTAATTGGATTGGTCAAGGGATTTAGGGAGCTAAACTCTTGTCAGTCAAATTCCTTAGACCACCGGAAGGGGATAAGGAATAGGCCAACACCTGTTTCACACTAACTTTTTAACTTGATCAACATATAATTTTCATTAGATCAATTCAAGGGGGAAATTTCTTGAAATTTGAATTTCTTACAAACATTTTTCAGCTTGCTAAATTAGACTTGTGTTTCATAACTTTAGGATTAGTTTAAACTTTAACTTAAAATTCGAACCTTTCAAGCTTAGACTAATGATAGCTGACTATAATTGCTCTTAATTAAATTCATCTTGTTCTTTATATGATCGACAACCAAACTCAAACTCTGGTACTACTGAAACGTCATGTATACTTGCTTGAGTCGTCTGGACTTCGCGGCACTTAGTGTGTGTCAAGTACTTACATATCTAACACCTAAAATTTATTTTTTTCATTTATACCCTCCAAATCTTTAATATCATATCAAAAATGCAACTACTTTAAGTTTCAGAAAGTGAAATGCATTTTCGTGCATAAAGAAGGTGAAATGTATGCAAAAATTAAATTTTAGGTATTAGATATATAAATACACAACAATTGAGCAGTATGTACGTAACATCCATTAAAAAAAGGACATAAAGGCAGCCTAAAGCCTAGAGTAATGAGTTCAAAAATACAAGTAGCATAATGCCCTAATGGTAAAGGAATCATATTACCGTCTCAAGGAGGAACAAATAAGATTATATCAGTACAATTAGTTTGCATACTCCATGATCTGCAAACCATCCAAACATAACACGATTCAGATAGCACTTTAACCAAGATGTTACCTAGCACAGCATAACATCTAGTCATTAAATAAAAAAGCAAATCAGTAAATAAAATTAATACAATATGCATAGAAAACCAATCAATATATGCACCTATATGCAACATTAATGCCACTATCTGATAGGATTTGTATTCAAGTTAGAGAAAGTTAGAAATATCTATAGCTTCACTTTTCTAGGCACAAACAAAGATGTTTTAGATTATAACTCCCAAATGTTGGAAATCATAAAAGCTTACAACTTCACACAATTAAATTTGGTGCTAATACAAGCATATCTATATAAAGACAATAAAAAAAGAGCAACAAGGAAAATATAATAAAGGAGAATATGAGTAGTAATGAGGACACATTATAATAATATCATAAACATCCTACCATAACTGTTAACTGCATGTGCTAAATTGATAAAATAATATATTCAAGATTAATAACTCTAATAATTTTGACATCTCCCAACAAATTCACAATGCAATTATAAGAAGTATTAAAGTGCTTACTGATCAAAATGCAGAATTGAAACTAGCCGAGATCAAGTTTTTCCATGGTGAAAGACATAACGATGAGCAAAACCAAAAAAATAAAAAAAAAAAAGAAGCAATAGAATCAGCAAAAAAGAAAACTAAAGGCAAAACCCTCCATGGTGAGAGATGATAACAATAAGCAAAAGAATGAAATCAAACAAGATCAAGAGAAATTGATGGCAAATGCTTGGTGGCAGATGATTGTGACAATTAAGCCATAGTGAAAGCAGCAAAATCAAGCAGAACTGAGAGAAATAGAGGGCAAATCCCTCCTTGGAGAAAGATGACAGTTACAAACGAAATAAAGCAAAAGCAATGAGACTGAACAGATTATCCACAAATGGAAACCCCAACAACAGCACTACAAAAAAGACTTGTGCGACCGACAAGAGAAGTATCACCAAATGGAGTAGAAGGTGGAGGAAGGGAAGCTCTAATGCCATTTTAAAAATCATAAAAGGCTACATCTTTACTGTTAAATTTCATGCTGATACAAATAGGCTTATATAAAAAGATTAAGGGAAGAGAGCAATAGGAAAAAGTAATAAAGGAGAATATAATCAATATGAGTATATACTACCATAACAAATACCTTAAGTTCATGCCATAACTATTAACCACATTTGATAATGTTGATAAGTTATGTATTTAAACATAATAACAATACTAATTCTAACACCAGGAAAATATGGTTAATAAATACCAATTATTTTTAAAATCCAACCTCAAGCCTGCAAATTTAACCCACGAAATCAAAACTTTAGACCACAATACATACATCAGATAGACGATGAAGAAGAACAAATTCGGGAGCTGAAAGAAGCAACTTTTGCTCAATCTTAAAAATTGCTAAATGCTAATACCTAAAAGGTCCCAAATTTAAGGAATTGAAAAGCCAACTGAATAGTAATTCAAACAAACAAGCAAAAATCACAGCATACACTTCCCAAATTGCATCAGAGAACCCAAAAAAAGACAAATCTAGCAAAACCCATCAATCCCTTACCTCAAACTACATCATCTCACAGCAAACAAACCCCTCTGCCACTGATTCATCGCATGACCTGAAAGAAGAAGAAACCAAAAGCCCGAAGCCCTCCTTCAATGGAGATCAGAAGAGTTTTACTCCTTCAAAGTTCCAAAGAAAGAAGAAACAGGGAAGATGCGGACAGACTATAACAAACGCCAAAAGAGTTGAAATTTATGTAGATTTACAATGGCAAGAAGGTTGAGATTTTCATCACGGTGGGGAAGATTCGTTAGTCTCGGAGAGAGAAGAATATCTCCTCTCTCTCTCTCTCTCTCTCTCTCTCTCTCTCTCTCTCTCTCCCCTCTATCTCTCTCACACTAGAACGAACGACCTTCTGAGAAATGTGACAGGAACTTTGTCAACATCCGGTCTTCTATTCCATGCCTTTGCCCACCTCCAAACTTTGATTTCCACATCGAATTTATGTATTCCATGACAGGAACTCTAATTTCCCTTATTGGTCCTGCGAGGTCATAAAAATGACTTTTTTTATTTTTATATATAGGCTCATTTGCCATTTTCTCATCATTCCATCTCTACCCTTTACCCTTGGATCTTCTTTTGGCTTATTTATTATTACTATATTATTCTTTTTTCATAATGTATAATATAATAATCCGAGTAGAGTTATGCTAAATCGAATTTATTTTTTATCTCAAGTTTCAAAAATAAAAAAGCCATTTTCTTGAAAAATATTTTAAAAAGTACTTGTAAAAAGGGAGCTTTTTTTCCCCTTCATTTAAGAGGATAAATTAAAACGAACAATTTTGCTCTAATTAGTCAATACCAATGATTTAAGCTATGGGGATTTTAAAAATTGTCTATAATGATATATTTAAATAAATAATATTATATTATAAAATTTATGTGCTGCATGCTTGGAAATCTAAGGTGGTTGTGTCATCAATAATTATCTCAACATTGTATACGAGTGCAACACATACTTCAATAAAAAAATAATAAGTAGGAATACTATAAGAAAGTGAAAAAAATCACTTGATTTGTCCAATTAAAATATTCCACTAATGTACAGCCTCTTGTCCCACTAACGAAAAGAGTTATACAGGTTCTCAATTTACAACGTTCGTGTGCATAAGAACTTGTTGTTCTGTGGCTTTGAGATAGAGACCCCAAATTTTGGTTGACAATAGGCGACAAGTGGTAATCGAAGTTGACCAAAGGTCGCACTGGCCGAAGGCAACGGCGGCTGAAGTTAGCCAGATTGCGGTGCAGGACGCTAGACTGCAACTCCCTCTTTTGCAAGCTCTGCTCTCCCTCTAACTCAGGGTCTAGATCTTCTCTCATGAGAAGAGTATTACTTTATTTATAAAGTCAATGTTGCAAATAAGGAAAGAATTCATACCATTCTTAATCTGATGACTCAAAGAGATTCTTTTGATCAAACGGCGTTTGATAGATATTTTAGTGCTTTAATGATGTCAAAATTGAGCGATATTAGACTTATTGGATTCTTCTTTTCGAGAGTATGTTTGACCTTTCAATTATGCCCGGAAAGCATCCAAAAGTAGCTTAATGCCTTGATTTGACTCAAATTGGACTGATTATGCCTGAAATTGATCTATTTTGGGCTTGTTGAATTCTTCTTTCCAAAAAACTTAATTTGAATATAAGCATGTTATATTCGAAATATGTTTAGCCTTCTAATTACGCACAGAAAGCTCCCGAAGTAGCTTAATAACTTGATCTAGACTTAATTTCACTTGGATTGGACTGATTTTGATACCGTGGGGTCCATCTCATAGAGTCAGTCAAATTGACTATAAGTTTTCTGAAATCAAACTCATGAATGATTTTTAATCAAAATTTAAATTTTTTTGTTCAAAAAATTGCCTTGAGATTCATGTCGGATGACTAAAATTTGTTGAAGGCGTATCAACATAATATATTGAGTGCATATATTTTATATCTCTAAATTTATTCCATCACATTGAAAAATAATTTCGTTATAATTTTTTTTATTAACCTTCAATCTTTAATTTTGCAATTTCATATAAAAAATATAATATAATTTTTATTTGATAAATATTATAATCTTTTTCATAAATATCAATATATCCAATTAATATTATAATACCACTTATATTATGTCTGAACTTTAATTATTTATAAAACATTATTTGATCTTAGATTATTTATAGTGGTATATTTATTATAATTACTATACGTTATAATAGTTTTTTTTAGTATACATATATATATATATATAATTTAAAATATGTTTAATATTTTTAGAAAATCATATAAAAATATTATAATACTTATAATTAAAAATTTTAGGTTATTTTTTAATTTTATATTTATTCAGGAGTGATATTTAGTTTGCCATTGATTAATTTCAAATATTTTAAGTCAGCATTATAATTAATAAAATAAAAAAATAATAATAATTTGTAAAATACCATTTATCTAGCATCTAAACTTTAATATTTACACCTAAAACACTCGAAACTTTAATATCACACGAAAAAAATATCACTATTATTAGCATTTTAAAATTATAATACAAAATTTTCATATATAGGTTTATAACGCCCGAGTGTTATAAGTGTAAATATTAAATTTTAGGAGTTAGATATGTAAATATATAAGAATTGTGTGGTATTTATATAATTTTTTATATTTATAAATATTTTATATTAAAAAATTCTAATTTTATATTTCTACTAACATTTTGTTTTTTTTACATTTCTATAAATCAATCCTTATATTGGAGGAACAACCTTTAGTGAATTTAATCATGAATGCACACACATCATATATGCATGACTTGCACCAATAGAGATCTTTTAACTTCTCTTCAGAGTAATTTATGCAGCAGTAACCTTCCAAACGAAAGATCATTCAGCTACAATAATTAACTATATATATATTATATAGTAAACAAAAGAGCTCTTAATAGAAAATTAACTTCACCTTCAAATCTGAATAACATACATGCATGAAATAGAAATCCGGTGATGCTTGACAGCGAAACCGAGCTCATCCTAACAATCATGGGAAACCTAAGGTAAGCGAGCGATTCAGAGGTGTACTAGCGGCTTATTGTGCGAAGCAACAAGACGCCCTCCTCCGTTTGTACAACACAATGTGGGGAATATCTCTTGAAGATGATTCTCCATGACCGAGAAAGCGAAGACAAAAATAATGTTCTCGTCTTCTCAGTCGGTACGTTTCAAATGTCTATCCAGCTGAAACCATAGATACAAACAACAGGATTATTACAACCTCGTGTTTTGAATTTTTTTTGTTCTAGAAATGAAAACGGTGGGTTTTTCTCTTTGATCGCAAAAGCTCCTAAACCTATGAGGTTTCCTCTAGCCACCAACAAAAATAACCTAGCTGATTAACATCTAGAACTAAGGGCCCTAAGAAAAGAAAATCATAAGAGTTTATCAGTTGTCTCTTCATCGTGAAGGTTAAGGAAGCATTCTCTATGCTTGTCCTCGCTCTGACATTGCTCCAGCGAAGTTTCGATAAAATTCCGGCGAGGTTCGCTCCTCTCCTTCGCCAAAGGATGAAAGAAGCTCTCCTCTGGAAGGAGAGCCTGACGAGGTTCCGGTGGAGTTCTGAGCTCTGAAGAAGTTCCGGCGAAGCTCCAATGATCCTTCCCCAAACTATGAAGAAGCTCTCCTTCACAATAGGAGAGTAGGCATCTTGCCCTCTTTGTTAGCCAAGCTCCTTGTCACAAACAAAAAGTCCCACATCGGCTAGGTGTAGGGCCGAAAAGCAGTATTTAAGTCCTGGGCTGCCCACCACCCCTAAGAGCTCTTTTGTGAGGTGACATCTTGCTCAAGAGAACCTCCTCACACACTCGAATGAAGTGGTGGAGAAAGAGGAAGAAAATGAAGAAAGAAGGAGCTTCTTATGAAGGAAGAAAAAGAAAGAGAGGAATTAAAAGCTATATTGAACAAGTCTTACTCCTAACCCTTCTCTAGTGCTCTCCATCTCAAGGCCTTCAAGAGAAACCCCTAGATCAAAGGAAGAAGAAGCTCCAAGGATCTCAAGGAAGATGATAAGTGTTGAAGCTCTGTTTTGGAGAATTCCTAAGGGAGATCAGCCAACCAACCCAAAATTTTCCCCTCTTTTTGCCTAAAGTGGCATGCCACCTCACTTAAGAATATTTTAAAAGGGATTTAATCCCCACTTTATCCCCCCCCCCCTCCCCCCCTAATCAAATCTTTACATTTTACATAACCACATGAAATTCCATTTTTGTGGTCTAAAGCAAGGTGTCGGTGTCAAAATCATGAAAATTTTGGGAGAGAAACCAGCGCAGAAAATGGCCTGGCTCCTGGGTGTCGTGACCCTAGTACCTAGGAGTTAGGCCTAGCGCCTACTTTCCCAAGGCTCGTGAAATGCTACTTAAAGGCATTATGAGCTCCAAGGTGCCAACAGGCTAGCGCCTATTTGTTGTGCTCTCTATTTGGAGGCTCCGAGGGGTGTTTTGAGTGTCTAAGTGCCCATGACTGGCTCCTAGGCCCCCAGTCTGTCACTTAAGCACAATAAGCTGGAGCCTACTTTCCAAGGCCTTAATTTGGAGGCTCCGGAGGGTGATTTTGGGTGTCCAGCACCCAATTTGGTGCCTAGGTGTGAGGGGCTAGCGTTTAAGAGCCACTCTGACCCAAAAACCCTATTTTTTGTGTAGAGCAATTGATGGAGATTTTTTTTCAATATGTAAGCTACGAGAGATTCAATATAACTGAAATATGGTCCCATAACATAAAAAATGAATATTTTTATTAGTCATTCATCAGGAGATTTGTTGTCGACGGTCGCCCTAGACCACTACATGGGTAAGGTGTCTTAGACCTTAATCTTCCTAGAAAAGCCCATGGGAGGCATCAACGGTTTCCTTTGACCACTGGAGACTCAATATGGATATTTCATGGTCTATGAACACCAGAATGGACATCAAATATGTCTCATGTTGTGTATGATGTCATTCAATAGTGGATTCACTTGAGCAAGGTCAAACCATCGTAGACCCTGGTTTTGTGCCCTAAACACACACAAGGGGGTCTAGATGGATGTCTTGAGCTACGAGATACTATGAATGAATAGTAAGTGGTCCTCAGTCATTCAAGTTGACATCCTACACATGTAGCATAAAAAATTAAAGCCAACAAACTTATCTATGACTAATTAAATTTGTTTCACACTATATTTAATTTATAACTTGCATAAATTTAGCTAAATAACATGCATATATCAAAATGAATTTAATTTTAAATATACATACAACTAATTGACTAAATTACATATATCAATTTTATTACTAATTTTGTCCCTCAATTAATCTCCCCACCCCCCTCAAGTTCCAAAGAAAGA